TTGAGGAATTTTAAAGACTTTATGGCAGCCATGAAGAGGAGGTTTGATGACCCATTGACCGAGAGACCCGGGCACCTGAAGTTTATGGCCCTGAAGCAGGGAAATAAATCGGTGCCAGATTATGTCCAGGAATTTCAACAGTTGTAATGCCTATATGAGGGGGTGGTTGGAAGATGCTTTGCTGGATCAGTTCGCTGAGGGATTGAATGAAAAAATATACCAACAGTGTATAAACAGACGCATTCCCCACCGTGTAACTACTTGGTATGAACACGCGGCAGACGTTGAGTTGGATTTAGCCAGGCTTCAATGCATGAAGGAGGGAGAGGCAGAGAAATCCCCCCCAGCAGCTCCAAAAGCCCCCCTCTGCCCCAGGAGTGAGGGAAAAAGGGGTTTCACAGGCAAAACCAAGCCGTTCACGTGCTTCTGTTATGGAAAGGAAGGCCATCGTGCCGTGAATTGCCGTGTAAAATTGGCTCAAACCGCTCCACCCCCTCCCCGCAAAGAGGGAAGAGCAATACAGGCTGACAAAGCAGAGGCTGACAATGCATTTATATACATTGCCTAGTAGCAATAAATGACTAAAAAATCCAAAAGCAAAAAATCCAAAAGCAAAATATAATATTAAATATAATATTAAAACAGAATGCTCATAAAACTCTAAATGACAGCATGGAATTGCAGGAAAGAGAGAAAAATAAAACACAGAAAACATAAACCCTGGGAATGCTTCCAGGGAATTTATCTAATCCTGTGGATATGTTGTGATTGGTTGCATAGTTATCAGATAGATATTCCACCTATCACAATGCTATGAGTGGAACAGGAGAAATTGGGAGCACTGTTTTAATTGGTATATTTTAACATGTGTCATATGCAAATTCAACTGTCATAAAGTGTCACCGATAGCTATAACGAAATGGAGGATTGAGACCAGGAATTGCTAAACTTTTGATTTTCTTTTAAAGACACCCTCATATCTCATTATCCAAATGTCTGTTAAACCACTTGCCATTATGGGTATGCTTTATGCTAGATTTCTTTGCAATGATTTAGTAGTGATATTTCTAACGCCCCACCCAGTTTTGATCTTCCTGCCATATACTTATTACTGTTTTACATGTGTTCATAGCACCTTCCTTCCCTCTTTCCTGTTACTTGATTTCTTGATCTTTCTACCACTTATCTGTCAACTTTTAAAACATTTTTTCTATCTCTCATCAGACTGCCAAGCCATCACCTATATTTACAATCTATTTATGTAATATATTGATTAAAATATATCATGCACACAAGCACACATATTTTGGAAGCCTGGTTTTATTTATATTATAGTTTTAGTTTTATTTATATTATAAATATAGTTTCCAATACTAAATCTATATTAAATAAGCAGACTCACCTAAGGTCTGAGTTGACACAGTGGTCTTACCCCAGACTCCATTTTCAACACATACTGAACTTCATCTCCAATTATATTTAGAGAAAAAAATTCAGGGTAAATTTTAAAGATTTTCAATAAAATTAAACTCAGTATATATTATACAGTTGCAGTGTAATGTATGTAAATTTACTCCCAGGCCAATCCATCTGAGTTCAATTGGGCTTTTTCTCACCAAAGAAAGAATAGTAAGCTTCTCAACTTACCGTAATTTATATGCAATAATATCAATTCCTTAATATCTTTAATACACATGGAGCTTTTTCTCATAAATATGTGCAATTTGTATGTGTCATTTATTCATTCATTCTTTTGTTCATGGCAGACCAGGCCCACAGATTGAATTCATTATTATTCCCAGGAGTTGGTAAATTTCCAGCACAACCGACAAATACCTGCTGTTTTGCAATTTTCTTGTCACATAAGTTTCAAAGCCTAATTCCAATTGGGTTCTCATTTTACTTGTAATGGGCGAAACTTCACACTTCAAAGCAGGCACACTCTAATTCTACAGGTGAAACTCAAAAAATTAGAATATTGTGCAAAAGTTCATTTATTTCAGTAATGCAACTTAAAAGGTGAAACTAATATATGAGATAGACTCATTACATGCAAAGCAAGATAGTTCAAGCAATGATTTGTCAGAATTGTGATGATTATGGCTTACAGCTCATGAAAACCCCAAATCCACAATCTCAGAAAATTAGAATATTACATGTAATCAATAAAACAAGGATTGTACATAGAACAATATCAACCTCTGAAAATTATAAGCATGCATATGTACTCAGTACTTGGTTTGGGCCCCTTTTGCAGCAATTACTGCCTCAATGCAGCGTGGCATGGAAGCTATCAGCCTGTGGCACTGCTGAAGTGTTATGGAAGACCAGGATGCTTCAATAGCGGCCTTCAGCTCTTCTGCATTGTTCGGTCTCATGTCTTTCATCTTTCTCTTGACAATGTCCCATAGATTCTCTATGGGGTTCAGGTCAGGTGATATTGCTGGCCAATCAAGCACAGTAATCCCACGGTCATTGAACCAGGTTTTGGTGCTTTTGGCAGTGTGGGCAGGTGCCAGGTCCTGCTGGAAAATGAAGTCAGCATCCCCATAAAGCTCGTCTGCAGAAGGAAGCAAGAAGAACTCCAAAATCTCCTGGTGCCTCTCCATTCTTCCTCCATACTCTGGGTCCTTGGTTTCCAAATGATATGCAAAAGTTGCTCTCATCAGAAAAGAGGACTTTGGACCACTGAGCAACAGACCAGGTCTGTTTTTCTTTAGCCCAGGTAAGATGCTTCTGACGTTGTTTGTTGTTCAGGAGCAGCTTGGCAAGAGGAATAGGACATTTGATGCCAATGTCCAGGATCCATCTGTGTGTGGTGGCTCTTGATGCACTGACTCCAGCCTCTGTCTACTCCTTGTGAAAGTCCCCAACACTTTTGAATGGCCTTTTCCTGACAATCCTCTCCAGGCTATGGTCATCCCTGCTGCTTATGCACCTTTTTATTCCACACTTTCCCCTTCCACATAACTTTCTATTAATGTTCTTTGATGCAGCACTTTGGGAACATCCAACTTCTTTTGCAATTACCTTTTGAGGCTTTCTCTCCTTGAGGAAGGTGTCAATGATGGTTTTCTGCACAACTGTCAGATCAGCAGTCTTTCCCATGATTGTGATTCTTGCTGAACCAGACTGAGAGACCATTTAAAGGCTCAGGAACCCTTTGCAGGTGTTATGGCTTAATTAGCTGATTAGAATGGGACACTTTGAGGCTAGAATATTGCACCTTTTCACAATATTCTAATTTTCTGAGATTGTGGATTTGGGGTTTTCATGAGCTGTAAGCCATAATCATCACAATTATGACAAGTTGCATTACTGAAATAAATGAACTTTTGCATGATATTCTAATTTTTTGAGTTTCACCTGTATGTACTCTTCAATTTGATGGTTCCTTTTTCAATGGTGAGTCCTTTCTTTCCTTCTCCTCCAACTCCTTTGTGGATTCCCTCCATTCCTGAATATTATAAGCAAAGAAATGGAAAGGGGGGAAATATTTCCTTTTGTTGCAGACAGGAAAAGAACATGTCTAAAAGCTCATAAAATATTTATTTTATGGACATATATATGAAATGAAGAAAGACTAAACAAAAGAAGAGGGAAGAAATTTGTATTTTACAAACAGAGCTGTTCTTCCCTCTGTATGAACTACCACTGCCTTATTAGCATTTAATAAGGATCTCCTAAATACAGTGCTTTAGTGCATAAACTCCTGGATTTGGTTTAGAAACACTTATCTAGTTTCAGGTTGGGCTGACCTATTCCCTCCCCCCCTTGATTACCTGCTGTGCCAGTTCTTTCTACATTTAATGTAAGAAAATAGAAAATGTTGAAATGTGTGTACAATTTGGCTTAATTAACACATGCTAATGAGTAGTGAGTCCCTCTATCCTTGGATAGATGATTAGCATGGTTTTTCAAAGCTTGCTTTAACTCTTTCCACCAGGGCAGTATTTTCTTCTGAATGATTGCTCTTACAGCACTCTACATTGCTTTGATATGCTGCAAGGTTTTCTTTTTCATTGTTCTGTTGTCCCTGTGTTATCTCCTCTACCCATTACCCTGTGTGTAGTTTGATGTGCAGCTAAACCCTTCTATTATTTTATAAGCTAGACCATGAATGTAAATCTTGATTCTTTATTAAAAAACAGAATAAGGTGAAACAGTGATGCTGAGTACGGGCTACAGATTTTGTCTTCAGAAGAATACGTGTCACAGAATAAGGTGGATTCTTCTGAATGTTTCTGTTACCTATTATAAAATGGAGTCTGGCTTCTCAGAATATAAGGGTACTCCTACCCAAAACAAAGTTCTAAACAGTGAAAGGTTTGGTCCCAGCCACTAGATGGAGCTCAATACATGCCAGATAACAACAATAGTATATGCTGGAGGTATGACACCCTACAACTGTGATAAGTTGTGCAGCATTTGTTTTCATGAAGAATACATATGCACCTTAAAATTAAATGCACAGTTAGTTAACATTCTGAAAGAACTAAAATGGAATGCGACTAAGCATATATGGGAAATTATTGGTAAATATAGTTGAATATATCCCTGGGAGCTAAAAATTAATTTTAATAATCTCAGAGGAATGATCAATATCATTCCATAAAATGAGAAGCTAATGAGAAGAAGGCAGGATTACATAATGTAATTGTAAACAATTCCAAGAAAGAAGAAAAATGTCAGCAGAAGAAGCCAATATGGCTGCATAAAAAGCTTAGTGAATATCTAAAACCCAAAGAAAATAGACAGAGAGGCAAGTACTTCACCGAGGAGGAGTTCAAACATGAATCAGGAAAGCTCATAATTAGATGGTGAAGCAAATGAAGAAATAGGACTTCTTTAGCTATGCTCAAATGGCAAAATGACAATAAAGAAAAGACAGAGCTATTCATCACTTATTGTGGCTTAGTATACTCCAATGCAGATTATTCAATCAGTTTATTGGGGTGAGAAAGATGAAGGGGCAGACTGAAGGTTGAGATTGATAGAAAGATGGCCAAGCGCAGAGCCAAATGAATGGCGTCTTGGGGAATGAAAGAAATTGCCAGGGTGGCTGAATTGCCTTCACTTGGAAAAATCAGGAAAAGCTGGCAAAGTACTAGATGATTGCCAAATGTTGTTTCTACATTTTCTGTGTTGGATTCTACTATACTTTTTTCTCTTATTCATGACCCAGCAAATCTCTTTTCCAGAGACAAAGCTGTTAAATTATTGCAATGAACTAATTATCATATTCTTTTGAAAGAGTCAAAATTATTTGTTTATCTTTTAAACTCTTATTGTGCTGATTGTATATTAATATTTTTCTATAAGTTTTAACATATTCAATCAATGGAGCTCTCTTTTTACTATGTGTACTATAATGTGTACATTTTATATGTTGTGTTGATTATATTTTAATACTTCTTTTGCAACTTTAATAAGAGCCAAATAGCTAAATTTCTATACAAGATTCCCTCCCTCCACATGTAGCACAGGATCCAAATTATCATGTAAAAGCAAAATTCAAACACAAAATATGAACAATGTCATTGATTCCAAATTGCTCACCAAAATGCAAACCCTCACCGTTTAAAAATTCCCAGCTAACCATGGACATTACAAAATAACGAATCATTAGATTTGTTTAGCAGACAATATTTATCAACATCACAACAGTGTTATATATATTATGGCTCTCTTTCTGCTATTCAAATTCTGGAGGTGATCTAGAGAAGATAGAAGCAGGATAATCACAATTAGAATATTTTTGCTAGTTAGTTTTCCACCCAGGCTTTCTATCTACTAGTCGTGATTCTCTTATGATATGTTACCAACATTCCCTTTCCCCTTCCCAGCAATACTTTGCTAAGGATATTATGTTGTTTAGCAAAAGAAAAATATGAAAGGCTGGGTGGGATACTGGTGAGCAATAGAAAGCTACTTGTTATTTCCATAATTTGCATACTTTTGTGGAACAGGAAAAAGTCAATGAATAGATATGTGAAAATTGAATATTAAATTGAATGAAAAGAATGGATTGGACTGATAAATGCGAACTCATTTTGAAATAGATATTTGGGGGATTGATAGGGATATTAACAGTTTAGAAAATGTAATTGGATAAACTAGTGTTTTCTCAGTGTTTATTTGTTCTTGATTTTTTGTTTTAGTGGCCAACCAATTCCTAGAGTAGACTATACACCTGAAGAAATAAAAACTTGGGGCGTGGTGTTCAGGGAGCTTTCAAAACTCTATCCTACTCATGCTTGTCGAGAATACTTGAAAAATTTCCCATTACTGACAAAGTACTGTGGCTATAGAGATGATAATGTCCCACAATTGGAGGATGTCTCTATGTTTCTCAAAGGTAAGCATCAAGCTTGGTTTCCTGGTAAGGAAAGTACTATAAAAGCAGTTACATAAAGCATGTTAAAATCTAATATATTTCTCTCTCCTGATATGTCTGTTTGGTAATTTAGTCTTAGAACACTTCCATTGCTTCCTTCCAATACTTATACCCCTCCAAATCTCTTACAAATAGTTTGAAACAGATTTTTATTAGATTCCTCTTTGCTGCTCAAAACATTCTATGTGCATTGTCTTATCTATGTTTAGATAAAGAACACAATGAACCAACCTGTCTTTTTACTTTGTGTGTATCAGATTACTCGTACATACTTACCCATATACATAAGAGATTGTTAAGAGTGGAAGATACCTGGGAAAGGCTGTAAAATATAAACATATTTTCTTGAATTCTTTCTGCAAAAGTTCCACTCATTGGAAGACCAGCTAACTTTTGCATTTGAAGTCCCCTATGACTTGTGAAGCTGAAATGACCTCCATGCCAAAGATATTGTAAGCAGGAATTTTAACCAATAGCTATGACCATAGTGGCATGCATTGAACTTAAGGACTGGTAAAGTAAAGAAGATGTGTTGTAAGTCATCTCTTTAAAAAAAATAGCAGGAATGGAAAAAAAGCAACTGTAGTGGTCTGGGGAAGAGAAGTTCATTGTTTTGCTGCGGCCTGGAGGAAGTGATGGACTGTGGGATCTGGAGGGCAGAGACTACAGGACTGTTCTGGAAATATTTTTGACTGATGCTTCATGTGCTGCAGTCAGTAAGAGTTGATGAAAACTAGGCCTAGATAAAGCAAATGACAAGCTTTTTACTTTCTTCTTACAGTTCTGGTCACTTTGACAGCTCATGAACACTTTATTGCCCCATGGCTTTAATTACTTTGTTTTTTTTCTTTCTAAAGAGAATAACATTATTTGTGGTCCCTTTTGCAGTGATCCTGAGAGCTGGTATTTTTGATGACATATAAAATGTAATGATGGGTTTAGGTGGGAAATGAACTCTCTGGTGATATTAAAAATATAGGAAAACTACAGCACAGTAGTCTGATAATAAAAAAATCAGAAGAACACTATTTCAACTGAAAATAAATATATATAGTATTTAGTTTGAAAAGCTAACTCTGCTTCCTTTATTTATTGTACCTTTATAGCTGTAAATATTTAATGTTAACTGGTTGGCTGTCCTTTGAGTCTTGAGAGGCATACTGTATCTTTCAATGGTGCCTTTTGTCTAATTCTTTGTGTCCCTAAGAGATTCCACCCCCCCCCATTTGCTCAAACTATAAAAGCATTGGAAGGCTCCATAGCATTCACTTAGCCAAAGACATCAGTGAAAATTGCAGGGGAGATTGGGTGGGTGTGGGAAAAAAGCCAGATGTCTTTTTTAAAAAGAATGTATTAATGAAATAACAAAATACATGAAAAGGTATTCTTCAAAGCTTCAAAGCTTCAAATCACAGTAAGTTTAGAGTGACCCAAGAAAGAGAACTTTCCTAAAGAAAACAGCAGTTTGAAGAAGGGAAATGAGATTTTATATTTGATGCACTTGGAGAGAAAAAGGTTACTTAGAACTTTCTGGTAAGAGGAAAACAACCAACAGGACCATCAATATCTAAGGGTAAGACAGTAGTCACTTCAGACAGTATATGTTAGGAAGCAGTAGCAATTTATTGTAATAGACAATGTGTTACATGGGTTTTTTCTTTTCATCCACTAGACTTTCCAGATGCCTTCAGAGATGGTGGAGCTTACTGGCAATTTTCTTCTGAAAAAAATATTCAGCCCAATCGGTTCATGAAATAGAAAGAAATAAGATTGTTTTTTTTTTGTTTCAGGCAGCAAAACATCATAGCCATTCCAGATAACTACATTTTAACTTAAATATAGTTTTTGGATGGTCAATCAGTTGTAAAAGATTGTACGCAGCCTATTATATCTCAGTAAAGATTTTTAAAAAATTATTTCAAAGGAAAATCTAATAGTGGCTGTTCCACATCTAGAGGATTTTACTTATATTTGTATTTTGCATGCAGGTAGTGTATATGATGGAAATAGTAGAAAAAATAAAATCTTCTAAATTGTGGAAGATTTCATAATATGTACAAAAAGATGCACTTTCTTGAAATAAAAAGAAGATTTAACTCCTGCCTCTTTAAAAAGTGTGTTCAGAACAGATTCAAATTGTATGCCTCTTATAAGGCAAATTGCATCTGCAAGATTCCAGGTAATAGAGAGAACTCAGTCTGGGAACTGAGTATACATTGCTTAAAATGAACAGTTCTAGATAGATTTGAAGAATTACATAATTATTGACTTAGAAAGACTATTCAGCTAATGAAATGTATAACCCTGCTCAAGATAGGAATTCAAATTAAGATGTCTACAAAAGATGGTTTCCAATTTCTACTTGAACAAATCCAGTGAAGGGAAGCCTATTGCTCTTCTTGGTAACTGATTTCATTGTCAAATCTCTCTTACTGTTAAGAAAGTTTTCTACCATTCAATGGTAATCTACCAAATGAAATCCATTATTCTATGTCCCACACAATGACCTATATGACAATCTTATAATTTGTAAGCCATCCAGAGTTACCTTTTAGGGGTAATAGGCAGCATAGAAATTTAATAAACAAACAAACAAACAATATATCTTACAAATTGCTGAGGTATCCCATTGAGCTCTCTCTTCTGGTCCCAATTTCTTTAATCTTAATTAGTTGATAGTTCCTGATCATCTTTATTGGTCTTCTGTTCCAACTCATCTTAAAATATATATTCTAAAACTGGACACAATTCTTAAAATGTGGTCAGCAATACAGATTAAGGTGGAATAATGATTTCCCATATTTGGAAATACTATTTCTGTAGATACACCTTAAAATTGAATTTGACTTTTTCCCCAGACTTATCACATTGCTGAATCATATTCAGTTTGTAATTAACTACTATTCCAAGATCTTTTTCACAAGTATTATTATCATCCTCTATTGTGCATTGGATTTCTGCTTCCTAAATGAAAACCTTTTATTTCTGTCTTCTAAATTTCACTTTATTGCTTTGAAACCATTTTTATCTCCTATCAAGATAATCTCTTAGGGTATTAAAAATCCAATCAAATTTTGACATCTGCACATTTGATAAGCTTCACTAAATGCTTGCTAATTACCATGTCATGGGGTGCTTTTTCAAATGCTTTGCAGAAATCATTCTCATAATCAATTAAAGAAGTTACCTAGTCAAAAGAATAAGATAAGGTTATGGCAAGGTTTGTTCTTGACAAACTCATACTGACTCCTACTAATTGTTTTCAAGGTGTTTTAATTGTCTTTAAGGTATTTAGAGATTGATTTCTTTATGAACTGCCTTGGAATTTTCCCAGCATTAGTGTCAGGCTGATTGATCTGTAATTTGCTGAATCTTTCCTTTTCCTTCTTTTGAATATATGGAAAAGCATTCATTTTTTATACAATTTTATACAGCAACCTGAAATGTTATGTAAATGATGAAATGTGAATAATAATAATGTTTTGAGAAATTTCTTCTTTATGTACCTGTATGGAATGTCATGATGCAAGTACAAAATGAGCAGAATTTGTACCACAAATATTAAAACACCATTCATCATTTCATACTACTTACTGTTGTCCAGGATTTCACAATGATGATACACAAGACTTTCAGCAAATTCCTATGATGCAATTCATCAGGACTGGGTTATCTAGACTCTAAGTGGTAAAGTGGTATTAACTTTACATGTTTCTATTAGTTTTGGAAAGATATTGGACTAGAAGATCTCAAAAGTCCCTCCAACCTATGAGTCTATAATTCAACTTTCAATCCTGCTCATTCTTTTTAATTTCTTTTTCTTTTGCTGGAAAAGCTAGAACTAAAATTGGATTTGAGTGGTTTGCTATTTCTTTCTTACTTATTTTTAGACCAGTTTGCCATATTATTGAATAGTTGGTATATTAATTTATTTTTGTTTTGAGCATAACTAAAGAAAGTATGTTGTTTTTGTTAATATTCCTCAGTGATCTCAGTTATTCTAAACCTTCATTTTCACCAACATTTTTGTATAGCAATATTGGCTTCTGCTATCTTTCATTTCCTAATTGGAATTGCTGGCAGTTATGCTTCTAATATCTCCTCCCTTATGAATTCCATCTTGAACTCATTAGTTTGTCCTCCCATGGAATTCTACTTATCATTCCTTTGAGTTTATTAAATCCTTACGTTTGAAGCCCAAGTTTTGATTAACTCAGTTTTAGTCTTCCTATCGATCAAAGCATAGCTGATCCTTTTATGCCTTTCTTTACTCTCCACCTGATAAGGACACAGCTGGCAGCATGACAAAACAGGAATTCTTAAAAGACCTAGACTTATAAAATTTGCCACCCAATAAATGTTGGAATAATTAAAGTTTCTTAAACTTCATGTATCTTTGAAAAATCTGCAGTTTTATTTTGGAAGGTATTATCACATTATCTCCTTAGTTAGGAGGGTAACAGTAGATATTAACAACATGTTTATTTTTATTTCTTCATTTGCTTGCTTTAATTCAGATGATTTCTAGCATTCAAAAATTCATTCACCTGGAAATCTGAGCAGAGGTGGATATGTTTAACATACTTTCCTTTTCTTGCCTGTCTTTCTTTGGAACAAATAGTATCACAAATGGCATTGCTATCTTCTCATCCTGGGAGTCCCCTGCCTCTTGTCTGTGTGACAGCATATTTGCTCTTCTGTGCTAAGTTTAAGTTCATTTTGTTTCTTTCCTTTACTTTGTGGCAGTAACCCTCATGGTTTCTCTACCTACTAAATGAGCTCCATGAGTTAAATAAGCTCAGTTTGTAAACTCTGCAGTCTTATTCTTTACTGCTCAAAGATAAATCCCATCTTTCTATTGGATAGCAGCCTATGTAGTATATCATGATGCTAATAATGAACAATTATTTTAAAAGAAATCTGACAATAGTTACTTGTATCAATCATACATAATGAATATACATACATAATGAAATACAGTAATGTTGATTTGTCTTCCATTTCAGAAAGGTCTGGTTTCACAGTCAGACCAGTGGCTGGATATTTGTCCCCTCGTGATTTCTTAGCTGGTCTGGCATATCGAGTTTTCCACTGTACCCAGTACATACGGCATGGTTCGGATCCCCTTTATACTCCAGAACCGTGAGTATCATTTGTGATAAGGCAATTACTGCAATTAGGGCTTACCTTTCCTTATACGACCTGAGGTGGCACACAGGGCCACAACATCTCTAGCTTCATAATAATATGGAAAAAGTAGGTTCAATACTCTGACTTAGTTTTTCCAGAGTCATTGAAAGTTGGGTGCCATAGTAATAATAATTTTAATTATGATAATAGCTGATGATATGATAATTGGTCATAATTACAATTATGCTTATATTTAGTTATGATTTGATAATTACAATTACTAGGATAATTAAGATAATGGCATAAACCAGTAGTGGTAGTCCCAGTGATTGGTACACTGAATGCTGTACCAAAAAATCTTGGAATACTTAGAAAATCTGCACAATATTTGCCAGTGTGTTAGTGTGAGACTGAAGAGACCCAAGTTAAAGTCACCATTCAGCTATAGAATTCAATGAGTCATTTGGGGGAATTACTATTTTTCAGTTCAAAGTAGTTTATGAGATTAAAACTGAGGAAAGACATCCTGTCCAGTGCCTTGGCTCTTTTGAGAAAAGGCAGAATAAAAATTCAATTGCAAACTCAATCAGTAATAAACTTTAGGGAGAATAAAGCAACTCCAATGACTGAGTATTCTTAACATCACTCAGAAAATAGCCATAACAATAACATCTTTTATCAGTAGTTTGCATTTTGAGTCATGGGATGTTTAAATGTTCTTTTTAGTGATTTTTCTTGTATGAAACAAGAAAGTGGAAGATTCCACTTGAATTAGGAGAAGAAATTCCAGCTTCTCCACCATATCTTGCCTCAGGAGATGAATTTCTGCTCATATGAAATAGTTATTTCTACCAGGGCCAATTTCACTTTACTTTGTATTTATTCTTAGAACCTTTTCCCCTTTATATACTTCAGTAAATCCAAGGGGGGGGGGGGAAACAGCATCTTTTTTTGTGACTGTCAGACCCTTCCCATCATTTTGGGGATTTTAAAAATTAAATTGGTTCTTGTAGTTTCGTCTCTGTTTTAGGGAGGTTGGAGGAGCAAAAAACGTATACTTTCGCCTCTACATTTCATCCCTAAAACCCTGGAAACCTGATCCTCCATTTAAAGCTCACTTTTGCAATATAAGCCTTAACATGCCATGCAAAATAGGAGGCAATCAGATACCACTGAATATTCTTTGTTTTCTTATTATTCTTTATTGAAAGACATTCCAAAATATGGGTCATTGATACTCTTTGAGCTTGATTGATTTGCTAGCACTGATAATGTTACCTAGTTGGGTAATGAAACAACTACAAACATTTTTTTTCAGAAAAAATATTGTCCTGCAATCTGCAACTCTTACACTGCAAAAACATATGGTCTTCACAACTCGACCAGGGTAAAGCAGTAGATGCAATTTATATAGAGTTCTGTGAAGCTTTTGATTCAGTGGTACACAACAAACTACTTCTAAAACTAAAATCTTATGGCAACTCTGGTTCCCTGCATAAGTGGATAGTTGCGTTCCTATCAAACAGGCAACAAGTAGTCAAAATAGGAAACACCCTATCAAACCCTGCTATCTAATTCATACTTGACAAAATAAAACAAACAAACAAACAAACAAACAAACAAACAAACAAACAAACAAACAAGCAAGCAAGCTCAGAGAGCACCAAAGACCCCATAGTTCAATCCTCTGTTACAAATATTCTCTTCTCTTGGTAATAATCTAAATGGTGCTGCAATTCTAATACTTTCCCCCATGAGATTAAGTTGGTTCAATGAAACTGCTTCGGAGTAAACATTGCACTGGATTGCACTGGAAATGTATTTCTTACTTTATTATATCTTTCAGCTCTTGCTAGGATATATCATCTAAATGCTTTGTCATCCAAAGCAATTATCCTTTGTTGGTACTGATACAATAAAGTTTTTTTTAATGAATTCATAAGAACATGAAACATCCAATTTGTCATGTACCATAACAGAATGGCAAAAAAATGAATAAGCACTAAATGGCTGCGTTGGTGTCTCTTGAACTGCTTTGCTGCTATAGAGAGGCCATATCAATTTTTTTAAAAATATATTTTATAGAAAGTTCTAACAGTAAGAAGAACTGTTACAAACTCAAATAGAACCAAAAGGAGAGACAAAGGGAGAAGAAAAAAGAGAAAATGCTAAAAGTGCAGATCTAAAAAGTAAAAGGAAAAAAAATATCCTCCTTTTTTCCCTTCCAGATCAATTTTTTTTCAGCAATAGATTTAGTTTAGTCTTTAGCCTTTAGGATTATTATGCTTCAGTAGTGCTGATTTGCGTATAGACCTTTGATAGTTTCCTGTTCTGACCCCCCTCGTCCTACACCAAAGCACGCCAAGACAAAGATACTGCAAGGATTTATTAACACGCAGACAGGACCTTGCCAGCAATCCAGCACAGAGAAGATGTTGGCAGCAATCCAGCACAGACTAACCTTGGCAGCAATCCAGCCTGCCAAGCTAGCCACGAAAGTTCTCCAACTTTAGGGAATACGTTGACTCCTGCAAAAGAGCGTGTGCACAATCATTCTTTTTATAGTCTTGAGGGGAGCCTAATTACCACCAGCTGAGTGCAATTATCTCCTGTAACTACGCAACTATTCCTTACGCCTATTAGCTCTTCATTGCCGGGCATCCAGGAATAACTCCCTTGGCTCCTCCCCACTGCTCCAATGCACAACGTCTGGATCACACTCCCTTGTCTCCTCCTCACTGGTCCAAGGCTCAGGCGCCTCCTGGTGGCCAACCAGCCTCTCTGCGCCCTGCTCGGAGTCGGAACCCTGTCCAGAGTCCTCCGCATCCTCCAGAGCCGACTCATAGGGCCCCTCGCTGTCGGAGTCTGGTGGCAGCTCCAACGGCTCCTGCTGGGCCACAACAGTTTCCCATGGCAGTATTTATAGTGAGATAAATGATATAGAATTGAACTGCATGGCAAAGTTCTGGATTCTACAGCCAAATGATTTTTCAAAGAGAGACAATTGGGGACAATGACAAAGAAGACTATGATATAAATACCATACATATTTGACAAGATACACCAAGTCTAATTCTTGTAGCACAGGCCTATGTAGTGAATATTGAATTAAAGATACTGTTGCTTTTAAATTATAATAAAACTATGCTAATTCTGAAACAGATGTTATAGTACAGGATTATAGAGATATATTTTTTTTCTCATGACAATGTCTTGATTTATGTGCACTTAAAATATGGTATTCCATATACTCAAAAGAATCTCTGTCTGCTCTTGGGTGACTAAAATGAAATAGCTGCTGGGGAATTAGTAAGCAGACACTTTCTGCTTATTAAGGTGTTAGTTGCATTAATTCATTTCTGAGTAATCTGGAAACAGACTAGACCAGGGGTAGTCAACCTTGTTATACCTACCGCCCACTTTTGTATCTCTGTTAGTAGTAAAATTTTCTAACCGCCCACCAGTTCCACAGTAATGGTGATTTATAAAGTAGGGAAGTAACTTTACTTTATAAAATTTATAAATCAGAGTTACAGCAAACCCCTACCACACACCATGAAAGCTGGAACGCCCACTAGTGGGCGATAGGGACCAGGTTGACTACCACTGGACTAGACCATCAACAATGATGGATCTGGCCACATCCAGAAATAAGTTGCATCGTTAGAAATGAGAGATGGGATCACATTCAGAAATAACAGGACCAAAATGCATTTAACAGAGCAAGCAAATAAAACTCTCACACGCAAACATAATTTAATAGTAACTATGAAACCAGTGATAAAATGTTGCACTGAACAGTTGCAATTTAGGGCATTCTACTTCATTTCACTCTTGTATACCTCAGGTTTCTGGACTTCCTGCCTAAAGTCATTTTAGCTTGGCTTTTTTTCAGATGGCATTTCATTTTCAGGAGTAGGGTTTTGTTGTTGCTCTTTTACTTGGCAATGCGAGAACTGAAGCACTGCAAAACTCGTGAGGGTCCTGACTTCTGCAGCTCAGATCAATATTCTTCTCCTGAAAAGAAAACTTATCAGGAGGTCAAGTCTTGAAATCAATGAAGGCAATTCCATTTCTATTCAAGAGTGTTCATTCACACACTTTCTTTAGGAAAGGTGTGGTCCCAATATGTTGAACATCCTGACTGGGAATCCTAATTATAAAATACCCAGAGTCATGTATTCAATATAGGTGAATAAATAGAAATCAACCAACCTACTCACCCCCCCCCCACCTACAATACTTCAAGAGGAAAGCTGATTTTTAAAGATTTTCTTCCTTCTTTATTATTTTTATAAATAATTCAAGATGGCAACCATACCTAGTACGCTTTCCTCCTCCTATTTTCCCCGCAACAGCAACCTTGTGAGGTGAGGTGGGCAGAGAGTGGCAGCCCAAAGTCACCAATTGGCCTTCACGGTTCGCGTAGGGTGGGACTAAAAGTCTGTCTCTTGGTTTATAGCTGGGTGCTTTAATCACTAGACCAAACTGGCTTTCTTAATGGAAGCCTTATTAGGGAAAAGAAAGGGATGTTGTAAAGCTAAACTAAATGTATGTACTTGAATCATGAGTTTAGATTGTGCTTATTTAGTAATGAGACAAGCTTATTCCCAAAAGTGGAGTCTTTTATAAAAAGCACAAGGTGGCAGTTCAGAACCAGAAATGAATGCTAAGTCTATAAGAACTAAACTTAATCATAAACCCCCTCACACTGGTTCTATATTGTAAAACAATGAAAAAGAAAACAAACTATTTGGAAAAACAGGCTTCTTAACTCCTCTATTTTCATACTCACAGGCAGTTTCTTAATTGTTTTGATCCTTACATACACATCTGTGGTGATCTAGTCAACAAAAACGGATAGGCTGGTATTGTCTTGACTGAGGGGAGGTTGTCAGAAATATAGCGGGGAACTAAATATAATACTAAAAAATACTGATGACTGTAGAAATAAACACATTGACACCAACATCCCCACAAACAAACACACATTTATAATACAAATACTATTTTTTGCTTGTGCAAAGAGACAATGGGAGCTTTTTTAAAAGCTACGAACAGCAAGAAGAATTTTTTAAAAATTAAATAGAAACATTTCTTTCCATGAAAAATGATTGGTATTTTATGTTTTTTAGACCCAGCCAGTTCATATTTTTGTCAAAAATTAAACAATATAAGGGAGTCAAGCAAAAATAAATAAATAAATATGCTGTTTTACTGCTGCAAATAAAAGATTCAAGCTTTGAAGCAACTTTTATGATAGTCCTCTTTCATTTTGAAAAAGAACATATTAACTTACTATTTGGGAATTGTTGCAGTGCTCTATGTGAGTTTATATCACAATAGTTTCAGACATGTACTAACATTGCATTTTTTTCTGTGGCAGGGATACATGCCATGAACTCCTGGGTCATGTGCCTCTGCTTGCTGACCCCAAATTTGCCCAGTTTTCTCAAGAGATTGGTTTGGCTTCTCTGGGAGCATCTGATGAAGATGTCCAAAAGCTTGCCACTGTAAGTCATCATCATTTGAAATGTGAGATTTCCTTCTTTGTTAAGAATCTGCCAGTTCTTCTAAATTTACTAAATATAGGGGTGGGAGAAAGCTAGTCATTTCCATCATTCCCAAATATTGGCTGTGTTCACACAATGCACTAAACCAATTGTTTTCACTAATTTCAGTATCATTTGATGAATGAATACTGAACATGGCCATGTGTTTATGAATCCAGCTAATGTTGAATTATTTAACAAGCTATGGTCAAGTAAGCTATTGCCCATTCCTCCTTGGCAATACAACCATGCTACCTTTAATGTATGGTCATTTCCCTCCCTCCCTTCCTCTCCAAGAAACCCTTCAGAAAGTGCCTTTACTTTACTATGTTCCAGATGTGATAGTCCCAGAATTTCTTGCCAGCTATTGTCCATACTCCTTAAGAACATAGGGAATTATAGGAATTATGCATCCAATATATCTGAAATATACCTGATTGATAGAAAACTACTTTAGGATAAAGATTTGAATGGATGTAATTTCAGATCCTTTGTAGTGTATTTTTCCAGTTAAGCTTTGCAAACTGTATTGTAAAGGAAATATGCATATTTTTATATTAGCCTATAGATAAAATGAAGATGAAAAATTAAGGCCTACAATAAGAAAGTACTGATTTCTGAAAATATTGCAATATTGTAGGCAATTGCACACATTCAGTGGACAGGAATGAAATATAGTTCTCCCTGATGTACAAAAAGTAAAAATGAATTTACAGGAGTGAGAAAACTTTGTATCGGATGTAAATCCAAATTTCTCTGAATCCCAAGAAAATTTGGAGCTGGAGTAGAGAGATCTGAGAAACAGGTTTCACAATTTTTTTTTAGAAATTGGTTCCTTTGTACAGGAATGAATTCAGATGCTTCTACAGAAGTAATCAGAAAAGTCAAGTTGGTGGGCATGGTGGTGGGTTCAAATCCCAATTCCCTTTTTTGTATGTCTTCTGTGTTGCATGTAGAAATACAGGCTTTGATTATGCCCAGGTAGGGAGGGTCAAATAATGAGTAGGATGAGGTCAAAACCCCATAGGTGCTTTTTCAAAAGGCAACTGGATTTTGTTTTTCTTTGAAAACGTTTTGCTTCTCATCCAAGAAGCTTCTTCAGTACTGGCTGAATAATGGAGGATGGAAGGATTCATATTCCTTGAAGTCATCTACAGTAGTTGTTAGTACTCTTCTTGATAATTGTTGAGGCCACTTGGAGGTTTATCTATGCCCTTGGGGTCACCAATGCAAATGGGAGTGCAACCTTCTTGGAACTGTTGAAAGGACTGTATTGTAAACAGGAGATGGTGGTATCGTATTTCACCACCTCTGTTTCTCTTTGACCCACCATTGGTTTTAAAGAGGAATCAGAAGAGGTCATCTACATTAAAGTTGAACAGCTCTCGCACCACATAGGGGGTGGGATACGATGATGAGGTCAAAAGTTATGCTAGATTTCTGAGCACAGAGAAAGGGTGTGGCTCTGCTGAAGTGCACAAATCATGTTTATGGTATTGGTTTATGCACTGGATCTGCTTAGGAATATTGTGATAATTTTGTCAGTGGATTGTATGTTTTAATCTTTAATTCAGGAAAACAGGCATGCACAGGATTTGATGCCTTCATTAAAATGAACAGAAAGGGAGCAGAGCTTGCATCATGGGATCCTGTAGATGCTGCTGCTAGGAATGAATACAGTGCTGTTTTTCACCACTACAAGAGGGGAATCCTCTTTTCATCTGTGAAAGAGCTACACAAACATATCAACCCTGGAATTTTTTGAAAGATAATCATTTGTAAGACAAATGTGATTATCCTAACCAATAATTCTTGAACAATTAAAATTGGAAATCTATCAGTTACTATCCTGAAGAATTGAGAATACTGTCTTCAGTGAGCTAGCATCAATATAAGGAGCTTGGAAATAACTTCAAGATTTAAATTGGGAAGAATGCATCTGCCAGGAAGTCCAATATCATTTAGAGAATTTGAGTGAAAATTCTAGAACTGAGAGCCAAGTTCCTAATGCTATACAGTACATGTTTTAATTTATATTCTCAAAGGTTACAGGTAGCTGAAAGAAGAAAGCAACACCTCACCCCCCTACAACATTTCGGAGAAAACAAATGGCTACAGGTGCATAGCAAAGTTAACCAGAATAATAAACAGATACTTAGCATTTATATAGTGCTTTAAAGTGCATAAAACGTTTTGCAGATGTGGCCATTAATTTTTACACTAGACAATATAAGCATGCCAATTCTTAAGAAGGGCTGAAAAAATATTGATTTGTTTAAAGCAAGCAAATGCATCTATGATGGGTGAAGCATTTAAATGAGAATCTTTGTTAGCCTGTTCAGTTAACACCTTAAAATGTGGACCACCAAACAACTTCTCCATCCTCTCATTCATATTGGTGACATCAGTGAACTGGTAGTTGTCCATGACATAAAGTAGTTGTCTGCAGAAAAAAGTTTCACATATATGCAAAAGCTGGTATGCAGTCTGAAATCCTCCAATATCAAGGTTCAAATTCCTAGGCAGTACAATCTCAACCAAGAGCCAAAACAAATCTGGATCCATATGTTTCTTGATATTCCATACTTCCAGGATTTAATTTTAGCCTGTTTGATTCCATTCATCTCTTACAATCTATGGATTTTGGTTAGGACCTCTATCACATCTCCTCTTGGGCTGGGATAAAGTTATAAAAATGGGTATAACTCTGCCATGGTAGTGAACTATTACCTCCCTCATTGAAACATTTATCACTCTTCAAGTCCAGTGTTCTGTTGCCTCTTGGCAATTTGAAGAAGCAATAAGGTGCAAGAATCGAGCCCAAAGATGGCTGAATTCATACTATTGAGAAACCTATCCACTTTCTCAAATTCCACAGGTTCAAAAGAATTCCAGATACCTCTACAAGTCCCTCAGTCATCTCATTCCATATTGCTACTGGACAGCAGATTGTGAAAAATACCAGTATGCAAAAACTATCTAGAATGATAAACATACTCATCAAATATACTCATATCCAGTTACCTGCAAAGCAGGATATCTAGTCACTAATAAATCTCTCAGATAATCATTAACATGCCATTCATGACCACATCCATCTTTTCTTTTTGTAATACCCCCCTCTTTTTTTTAGAGTGGCATCTGTTGCAGCACCCAAAACCTAGTCAGATGAATTTTCCAACAACCAGCCCATTCATCCTAGCCCAGTCAAGTGGAGCACAGTTCTAAATAAACATGTTGATGATTGTAGTATTTGTCATCTGATGAATAAGATGACTCACAGTCATAACTAAAAGAAAAATGTAGAAGGAAAAGATAGAATAGAGGCATTCTAAACTACAGATTGTGTCATGTTTGCAAGACATATTATTGCCATGTGAAATGCCAAGGACTGTCATTATATGCTGGGTTAACTCCACATTTTATCTTGTGTCCTTTTATTTCTGGAAGCAGCATTTTCTACTTTTCCCCTTAGCTAAACAGAGGATGGAGAACATGTCCCCCCTTTTGCTGAATATACATAATGCTACAAAAATATCATAAAAAATATTCCCTGCATGGCAAGTATTTATTACTTCTTTATTACTGCAATTTAATTTCATGCCTTCTATCTGAGTGCTTTTAAGATGGTCAACAGTATTGCCAGAATAGTTAGTTATAAATAAAATCAATGAACAGTAACATAGAGCTGAAAATAAAACACAATCAGTTGATAAATATGTGGGGAAGGGAAAGCTGAAGCTGTATAGTGGCTTATAGGTTTTAAACACTTGTGGGAGTAGTGAAAAAATTCCTTTGTGACTTTATAGATTAATTCTATATCAACATCTTGTAATGTTGATAATGTTGTAATGCTTCACCATTGGCATTTCTGATGGCTATGAAAAGAATAATTGTGCAGCTGTTCATTTGCTTAAACAGTTTGCAGATACGCAAGGGTGTCTTGCATTTTTGACTGCTTATGATCAAGGCTTTTGTTTTGTTTTGCTTTTTTGCTGCAGCTGTATACTTAGTTAAAAAAATATAGCTTCATTGCTAAGAGCCAAAAACACCAGATATTCGCATGACTGCAAACTCTGTTCAGCCAAGCTGGCCCTACTGTTAGGCAGAATGAAGTTGCTCTCTAGGCAACAGATTCTGTGTCTCATGATTGGGCAGCAAATTGTCCTTTATATTTTTATACTAAATCAACTGTGCAGTCAAGGCTGGACCTCAGAACTGAAACCCCAGATGATGCGGTCCAGATGGTACCTCAATGATGTAGTGGTGGTAGAGAACAGATGATGGGAAACAGCAAAATGGTAACACATTAGCCAGGTTGATTTTGGTTGGTCTAGTATTCTTTCTTTCTTCTCATTTAAAACCTACCTGATAATGTAAGGCTAGTCTGACTTGTTCAGAGTTACAAATGCTTTTTTATTTTGTTTGGAAAATTGTGGTGTCCACTTTGATAGCAAATTAGTGTTCATTTCCATATGTTTATCGAATTAGTTGGATTGTAGTAACACAGAAGCAGTTGTAAAGTATGGAAGAGGGGAAATATTAGTTAAGGATACACCTTTGGGGCATTCAGTCCAAGGCATAAAGCAAAGGTTTGCAAAATCATATAGCACTCCCTAAAATAGCAAAGCTTTTAGAAGCTTTCTTCTAAAGTGTATTATAAAATCATGAATTTAAACCTTTCAGTAGGGGAAAATAGTCACATGAATGACTTTATATGAAGGGTAATTCTAATTAAGATACGTTTTCCATTCTGGTCTCATCCTCTTTCCCACACCATGCCATTTAAAGACCAGGAACAGAATTTGGCACAGAAAACCTTGAACACCTCTGGTCTAAAATTAGTTGACTATATGATTGTTACTACTTTAAATACTCATGGGATTTTCTGCCTCAAAACCTGAAATAACTTAGTCAGCCTTCCACTTCACACTACAAGTGAGTTCAAGGATTTTTGCCTC